ATCTATCTATCATCAAATCTATTTCATCTATCATCAATCAATCTACCATCTATCTATCTATCTTTCTATCTATCTATCATCTATCTATCTAACCTATTCTAGTCTATTTATATCTATAATTTGATTGTTCTATCATTCTATCTTGTTTTATCTATAATCTGTCATCAATCATCTATCATCAATATATCATTCTATCGTATCTATCTATTGTTCTATTTATCTATATCATATCTCATTCTATTTATCTTTCTGTCATTCTATTTATTTATATCTATCATCTATCTCTCATTCTATTTATCTATCTATATGTATCTATTATCTATCTCTCCTGTTCTATCTAACTCTTCAAGGGCAGCCCCAGGTAGAGCATGTTGCAGTTGTCCATTCAAGAGGTAACCAGAACCTCCCAACATTATGATTTTAGACTCTGTGCAACTGACTGCAATACTCATGGAGTCTGGGTCCTCTTGGGGACTGACCTTGGTTATTTTTTCCTCTCCCCACCCCTGCAGGTGGTGCTCGCCTTGCCCTACGACACCCCCGTGCCTGGGTATCGCAACAACACAGTCAACACCATGCGGTTGTGGTCTGCCAGAGCTCCCAACGAGTTCAACCTGAAGGACTGTAAGTAGCAACGACCTGAGATTCAAACAAATCCTTTCTCGCCAGAGTTATTAAGTGAATCCCTGTGTTAGTTAAGTTACCAACACAGTTAAGTGAAATCTGGCTTCCCCATTGACTTCGCTTATAAGGTCGCACAAGGGGATCACAGGACCTTAGGATACGGCAACTGTCATAACTATGAGTCAGTGACCAAGTGTGCAAATTTTGATCACGTGACCATGGAGATGCTGAAATGGTTGTAAATGTGAAAAATGATAAGTCACTGTTTTCAGTGCCGTTGTAACTTTGACTAGTCACTAAATGAATTTGTTGAGGGCTGCCTGTATGGGGTTGGTCCTTGTTCCAGGTTTTATCGTACAAAGACCCAAGAGAACTAGTGCATTTTAAATCAGGGTTTCCCAACGTTGGCAAGTTTAAAATGTGTGGACTTCAATTCCCAGAATTCTTTACTGGCTGGGGAATTCTGGGAGTTGGTCCATAAGTTTTAAACTTGCCAAGGTTGGGAAACCCTGATTTAAATTGACATGATAAACTCAGAAACACACTAATGAACCAAACTTGCTTCAGATGAGGCACCAACACCAAGAAGGCCCTGTTTCTAGTCCTAATGATCTTTTAATTTTAATTTTGTAGCATCCCGTGGTTAATTAAATTATATTAACTTATTTTTTTCCTCTCTGTTTTTTAAAAAAAATCTTCCCTTCTTCAGTCAATGTGGGCGGCTATATTCAGGCCGTGCTGGACCGGAATTTGGCAGAAAACATTTCCCGTGTTCTGTATCCCAATGATAACGTAAGTACCTTTTTCTGGTTTTTTCCCCCCCAGGGAACCTTTAAATCACCGTTTCTCAATATCAGCAACTTTAAGACACGCGAACTTCAACTCCCAGAATTCACCAGCCAGTATTTGCTAAATTCTAACTCCCATGGTCCTCGGCCAAAAGGTTGGGAATGATGGAGGAATAACATCCACAACAAAGGAGGTCATCAGATTGTAGGAGGATGACAAGGAAAGAGAACATTTCTTTAATGACCGTTTGAAGTTATGACCGTCAGAAAAAGTGACTTGCAGCCTGTCCTCAAAGTTTCGACCACCCTTAACAGGTCATGTGATCGTAGGTCAGGCACTTAGCAACCAACTTGCATTCATGACAGTTGCCGTCACGTGATCATAGTTCATCAGGAAGCCAGGTTTGCTTAACGAGCATGTTATTCATTTAACAATCGTCGGATTTACTTAACGGCTGGGGTAAAATGGTCTATAAAATCAGGTCCAGCCACCTGGTGATTTGCTTAACAATTGAATTATTTAACAACTGAAATTGCGGTTGTAAGTTGAGGACTACCTACTCTCAATTGGGTCACTTCTCTGCAAGCTGAGCATCCTCCTCCGGACATCATTCTAACAGAATAATAACAGACCTTGGAGGTCTTCTAGTCCAGCCCCTGGCTCAAGCAGGAGACCCTATGTCATTTCAGACAAGTGACTGTCCAATTTCTTCTTAAAAACCTCCAGTGATGGAGCAGCACCCACGACTTCTGGTGGCAAGCAGTTCCACTGGTTAATTGTTCTCACTGTCAGGAAATTTCTCCTTAATTCCAGGTTGCTTCTCTCCTTGATGAGTTTCCATCTATTGTCCCCAAGGTGGTTTTTTTCAGGAGGCAAGTGGACTTCCTGGTTTTTCTCTGAAGACGTTTTGCTTCTCATCCCAGAAGAGAAGAGCGGAAGAAGCTTCTTGGATGGGAAGCAACACGTCTTCAGAGAAAAACCAGGAAGTCCACTTGCCTCTTGGAAAAACAAAAAAAAGCACCTTTGGGACAACCGGGACCTGGAGAACGGAGCGTCTCCTTAGAGGACCTTTTCCTGGTCATCGTGGCTCCTGGTCCTGCCTTCAGGTGCCTTGGCGGGTAGCTTGACTTCCGCTCTTCTCTCTGCAGTTCTTCGAAGGGAAAGAGCTGCGCCTGAAGCAGGAGTATTTCGTGGTGGCCGCCACGCTGCAAGATATCATCCGCCGGTTCAAATCCTCCAAGTTCGGCAGCCGTGATCCTGTCCGCACCTCTTTTGACGCCTTTCCAGACAAGGTACCCAACAAAAGCGCCTTGGCTGAGTGGCGCATCAGCCAGTCTGCATCCCAGGAAGTTTGGTGGGTGGGAAAGCCGACCAGGTGAGCCTCGGGGGTCAGTTTTTCAGAGAATCAATGGAGACCCCATTTTTTTTTGGGGGGGGAGTCTTGATTCAGCCCCCTTTCGAGCTTTCGAGTCCTGTTTTTTCTCTCCTCCCCCTTCTCTGTGAGCAAGAATAATAATTCCTCTGCTTCCTTGGTTATATGTCCATCTTTTGCCTCTGGCCAGCCGTGGGGCTTGGACAGGGGTGGGGTTCCAATTTTTTAACAACCAGTTCTGTGGGCGTGCCTTAGTGGTCATGTGACTGGGTGGACATGGCTTGGTGGTCATGTTGGCCGGGCGTGGCCAACTCAACATCACTCACATCGAGGCACGCATCTCCTCGCCTGGCCTCTCACGACTGTGGGGATGCTGCAACCATCGTAAGTGTGAAAAACGGTCATAAGTCACTTTTTCCAGTGCCATTGTAACTTTGAATGGTCACTCCACACAAGCAAAGTACCAGCAAAGGAGGGGAAAAAAACTCCAGAGAAGTTCCTGAGACAGGAAGTCTAGTCCTGCCACGAACGTAATAAGGGTTAACAGAGAGGCAGTTTCTGTAAGCAACACCAGAATGTTTCCTTCCTGCCTTCCTTACAGGATTAGCCCAGTCATTTCTTCTAACAACCGGTTCTCCCAACTGCTTAGAATGTTAACAACCGGTTCTAGCAAATAGGTGCGAACTGGTAGAATCCCACCCCTGGGCTTGGACCTAGAGGGTCCAAGATGGGTCACACCCAGCTGGATGGAGAGTTTGGGCTGCTTTGCATTCTTTTGTTTAGAGGGAGATTGGTGGTAGAAGCTTCAGGAATTATTCTAGATTTATTGGGGAATTTGGGACTCGGCCTTCTCAGCTGTAAAACGGGCTTAAGGACAGCTGAAATGACAATGCCGCTTGGCACAAGCCACAGAAGGGACCTTGGAGGTCTTCTAGTCCCATCATTCTCTCCGTTTTGTTGTGTTTTGATAACTGCAGGTCGCCATTCAACTCAATGACACGCATCCTTCGTTGGCCATCCCAGAGCTGATGAGGATTTTGATGGATATTGAGAAGCTGGAGTGGGATAAGGTAAGAGCCTGTAATTGTGCAAACTAACAAACAAACAAACCGAAATATGGCTCTTGAGGGAAGGAAGAACATGCGAAGCCAAGGAAAAATTAAAATAGATTACTTTGGAAATGAGCATCGAAGAAATGACTGAGAAATAGCCGAGATATATATAAAACAGTGCAAAAAAGAAAAACGAGGAAACAATACAAACTGTCTCTTTTCTACCGCACAATTGGGTGATTGTTGTTTTGCACAGTGTCTTATTTTATTTTATTTTTATCCTGCCTTGATTATTTTTACAATTAACTCAAGGCAGTGAACGTATCCAACATACCTTCCTCCTCCTATTTTCTCCACAACAACCACCCTGTGAGGTGGGTCGGGCTGAGAGAGGACTGGTCCAAAGTCACCCAGCTGCCTTTCATGGCCAAGGCAAGATCTTAGAACTCACCATCTCCTGCTTTCTAGCCTGGTGCCTTCACCATTGGACCAAACTGGATCCCAGTTTCCTTCTTGTCTTTTAAGAACAGAAGTATCTTCAAATAGATTGCCCATGATAAAGATAGTCCTCTATTGACAACCACAACAGAATTGGAAAATTTATTCTTAAGCAGTATGGTGATTAAGTGAGGCATCATGTGATCACACTTGATTTTATGACCTCTTTGCCACAGTCACTAAGCAAATTGCGGTCTTTAAGTGAGAAGTCAGACGATCGTGGTTTCCTAATCTCCCCGCCAGCTTTTCCATTGACTTAGCTAGTTGGAAGCAAGCTGGGAAGGTTGCAAGTGGGGATTCACATGACCACAGGACCCTGCAACCATCATCAATACCTGCCAATTCCCAAGTACCTGAGTTTTAATCATGGGATCCTGCAATAGTCATAAGTGTGAGGACAACTTGTAAGTCATTCTCAGCAATTTCAAACAGTCACTAAATGAATGGTCAGAAGTCAAGGACTACATGTAAGAATCAATCGTAGACTCATCATAGCTAAATGTTGGAAGGGACCTTGGAGGTCATCTAGTCCAACCCCCTGCCTAGGGCTGGTGTTTGCTATTCCAACTTTTTCTTTTTTTTGCAACTTCAAAGATTCACTAAACAACTGTAACCGATACGTCCCTGAAACAAACTTTCCTCTCTCCCCGCATTGCAGGCCTGGGACGTCACTGTGCGCACCTGTGCATACACCAACCACACCGTGCTGCCTGAGGCACTGGAGCGCTGGCCCGTCCACCTCCTTGAGACCCTCCTGCCCCGTCACTTGGAGATCATCTACGAAATCAACCAACGTTTCCTCGACGTGAGTGCAACACCCCCCCACACCCCCCCTGAAAAGATCTTTGGGGCAAATGTCTCGGTTTGGGCAGTGAGATAGATCAAGGTAGACTGCTCCTGGACAGGGGAGAGGATCAAGATCAGGTGAAGTGTTAGTTCCGCTTTAGAAGGTCTTGCTAAGGCCACACTTGGAATACCACGCCCAGTTTTGGTCGCCGCAATATAAAAAAAGATGTTGAAACACTTTTGGAAAGAGCGCAGAGAAGGGCTACAAAGATTATTAGGAGACAGGGGGCTAAAACATATAGCAATAGTACTTAGACTTCTATCCCACTTCAGGGTGCTTTGCAGCCCTCTCTCAGCAGTTTACAGAGTCAGCCTCTTGCCCCCCAACAATCTGGGTCCTCATCTGACCCACCTTGGAAGGATGGAGCTGGTCAGGATTGAACTCCTGGCAGTGAGCAGGGAGGGAGGGAGGGAGGGAGGGAGGAGAGGGAAGGGAAGGGAAGAGGAAGGGAAGGAGGGAGGGAGGGAGGGCAATAGCAATAGCACTTAGACTTATATCCCACTTCACAGTGCTTTGCAGCCCTCTGTAAGTGGTTTATAGAATCAGCCTCTTGTCCCAAACAATCTGGCTCCTCATTTTACCCATCTTGAAAGGACAGAAAGCTGAGTCAACCTTGAGCTGGTCAGGATTGAACTCCTGGCATTGGGCAGAGTTAGCCTGCAATACTGCATTCTAACAGGAAGGAAGGAAGGAAGGAAGGAAGGAAGGAAGGAAGGAAGGACAATAGCCATAGCCCTTAGACTTATATACCGCTTCACAATGCTTGTAAGGCCCTCCCTAAGTGGTTTACAGAGTCAGCCTCTGGCCCCCAACAATCTGGCTCCTCATTTGACCCATCTCGGAAGGATGGAGGGCTGAGTCAACCTTGAGCCGGTGAGACTCAAACTGCTGGCAGTCGGCAGTCAGCAGAAGTAGCCTGCAGGACTGTATTCTAACCACTGCCACCACGCCTCTTAAAACATACAAATAATGGTTACAGGAACTGGGCATGTCTAGGGGAGATATGATGGCGGTCTTCCAATATCTGAGGGGCTGCCATAAAGAGGAGGGGGTCAACTTATTTTCCAAAGCACCAGAAAGCAAGATAAGAAACAATGGTTGGAAACTAACCAACCAAGGAGAGAAGCAACCTAGAATTAAGGAGACATTTCTAACAACTAATAGTTTGCCTTCCGAAGTTCCATCATCAGTTATTTTTAAGAAGAGGTTGGACAGCCATTTGTCTGAAACATTATAGGATCTCCTGTTCCAGCAGGGGGTTGGACTAGAAGACCTTCAAGGTCCCTTCCCACTCTATTCTATGTTCTAAGGGCACAGCTGTCCAACCAAACCCACTGTCCAGCTACTCCATTCCAGCTGGTTTTCTGTTCTCTTCCTTCTCCTGCATCTCTTTAAGTCCCTCAAGGAGACCTCGTGTTCTTCAGCTGTTTCCAAGGGTCAAGGCTGCATTCCCATGACAGTCTTAACTCCACTGTTGTGCAAAGCTTCCCCAGGGCTATGCGTGAATCCGCTCGTTTGCGACGAGTGTCCTAACAGCCTGTTTTGGGGGCGTCTTCTGCAGAAAGTCTACACCACCTTCCCGGGAGACCTCGACCGGCTGCGCCGCATGTCCATGGTGGAAGAAGGAAGCGTCAAACGGATCAACATGGCGCATCTCTGCATCGTGGGCTCCCATGCGGTCAACGGAGTTGCCTGGATCCACTCTGAGATCCTGAAGGCCACTGTGTAGGTATCTGGAGTCTCACAGCTGTGGGGAGAGGAGGAGGGAATTTCTCCCACAATCAGGGACAAACAAGAGGAGAGCAAACTGGATCTGTTGTGGCCTGCTGGTGGCTAGCGGAGCTGGCGGCAGAGTCGGACAGTGAGGAGGTTGGGAAGGAAAATGGGCCAGTCCTGGAGGCTGAGGAAGGCTTGGATGAGGGCTCTGCATCAGAGGCAGAGATGGGCCCAGGGCAGGCTGGCAGTTGTCAGCTGCCTTTGGGCTCGGACACCAGTGAGGCAGGGGAGCAGTTGGAGCAGGTTCCCAGCCTGCCCATGAGCAGAGCTGACAAAAGGAAAGAACATTCATGAACTAAGTGTTGACGTGGGAGTAAGGCCACAGGTGAATGGCCCCTCCCATAGGGACTAAAAGAGGAGCAAAAGGGGAGGGGGCTTTTGCAGGAAACAACTTGTTCCTTGCAGCAGTGTGAAGATCTCTGTGCCGAGCCCTTCCTTGTCAGCACTGCGTTTGGAAATATTTATTGGGCAGCTCTACAGGCTAGATAAGGCCTGTGCTCCTCATTAGCCCCTCGAAAGACTGTTTGCCAGACCTTTGGCTGAATGTGGATGCAAGAAATTCACCTTCGTTTAATAAAAGGGTTTTTGCCAGGACAAAGAGCCTCCTTAGTGCTTTTGGGGGAAGCCTAGATCAGAACAGGACCTTTGTCAAAACCAGGCACAACGGACGCTCTTGTGCAAAAGAGGGGTTGTGCAGCCCACAAAAATACAACCAAACGGAGGAACAAAAAGGTTGTTGGCTGTTAGCTCTCCTCTCTTGAAAGTGGAACGCAGACGGTCCTTGGCTTAGGTCCAACTGAAGCCAAAATTTCCATTCTTCAACAAGATAGTTGTTGAGTTTTGTCCTTCTCAACACAGCTGTTCAGTAAATCACTGCAGTTGTTGAGCTAGTAACATGGTCATTAAGTGAATTTGGCTTCCCTGTGGGCTTTGCTTGTCAGAGGGTCCCAAAAGCAGATCCCATGGCAACCGTCATAAATACAGGCCGAGAGTCTGAATTTTGATCACATGACTGTGCAACTGCTGTTAATATAGGTTGTCCTCAACTTACGACCACAGTTGAGCCTAAAATGTATATTGCTAAGTGAGACAGTTGTTAAAGGGAGTTTTGCCCCGTTTTACGACTTTTCTTGCCACAGTTGTTAAGTGAATCACTGCAGTTGTTAAGTTAGTAACACAGCTGGTAAGTGAATCTGGGTTCCCGGTTGTTTGTCAGAAGGTCACAAAAGGGGATCACATGACCCCGGGACATGGCAACCGTCATAAATCTGAGTCAGTTGCCAAGCGTTTTAATTTTGATCATGTGACCACGGGGATGCTGCAATAGTCATTCACATAAGTGTGAAAAATGGTCGTAACTATTAGATGGCTAACACTATAGTTGAGGACAAAAATTCTAATTAAGATTTTAATTAAGGTTGAGATCGGGATCCTGGCTAACTCTGTAATTGAAGAAAAATATTCTAAGCAAGATTTTAGTTAGGATTACAATGAGGATCCTAGCTAACTATGGTTAAGATGAAGATTCTGATTTAAGACTTCATTTAAGGATAAGAGGAGGATCCCGGAGTACAGATGAGATCAAAGTCAAATTTGGGAAAATGTGAATTGCATTAAGATATGCATAAAATCCAAATGCACCCCTCCCTATAAAGGGTAATTCTTTGCCTTCTTCCGAAAGAATTTTTTTTATTTTTTCTTCTTTTTTCGCCTTTGCTTGAGTTCCCCCTGCCTCTCTTATTATTGCCGCTCTTTCCCTCAGATTTAAAGATTTCTACGAATTCGAACCGCACAAGTTCCAGAACAAAACCAATGGCATCACGCCCCGTCGGTGGCTGGTTTTGTGCAACCCTGGGCTGGCTGAGGTCATAGCTGAGGTGAGCCTGATAATGAAACCCCATCTCTGTCGCGATCCATTCTTAGCTCATCCCCAAAATATTCTTTGTTGGCAAATTTATGGAGGTTTTTAGCCTGGAAGGGATGGAAGGTAAAGGTGGACGGATCGATATACATTGTTTTTTTTACGACCTGCCTTAATAGCCATTTGCTGCTCTGGTTTTTAATAGATTTCCTTTTTTAAAAAAAATCCATGAAAACAGCCACTTCCTTTCCCTTTGGCGTTTTTCCTCATATTGATCTGTTTATTTATAGCTTGCTTTTTCTTGAAGTGGCTGAAGTCCAGGCAGCTGGATTGAGAGAAAGTGATTAGCCCAAAATTACCCAGAGTGTCCTGGGATCAAGCAGGAGTTAAACATGACTATCTTAGCTGCCAAAGTATTTATCTGCAGAAGATTTTCTATGCCCTTTCCCCAAATATCTGTTCTGGCCATTAATTTCCCATCCTATTTTTCTTTCTTTCTCTAAACGGCAGGCGGTTAACAACAATAAGTTGAATTAGATTAATTTCATTTGGTTTAAATCAAAACAAATGATTAATTAAATGATTTTGTTTAAATCAAAACAAATTAAATGTATAAACTCTCTTTAAGATGCTGAGATGCTAAGCCAAGTTCGTTGCATTTGGAGTTAGGGTCTTGTCTGTAACAGCTGATTATATAATGTCAATCATGGTTTATAGTTCAGCCAGTCCATTGTGGTTTATTTAGTGAAGAGTGATTATAAAAGCATGGCTTAGCAGATGGTGTGAAGCCAGGGTTTTTCTCTCTTCTGTTGACTGTTGACATTTGCATCAAATGGTTGCTGCTTAGCGACTCCCAAATATTTTAACAGAAGGATAGTTAACAGAGTAACAGGGTTGGAAGGGACCTTGAGGTCTTCTAGCCCAACCCCCTGCTCAAGCAGGAGCCCTATACCATTCTGTACAAATGGCTGCCCAGTCTATTTTTGAAAACCTCCAGGGATGGAGCACTCACAACTTCTAGAGGCAAAAGCCGTTCCACTGGGTAATTGTTCTCACTGAATCCATGCAGTGGGACTCCTGTTTCATTTTGTTTCCCAAAAGGACAGTTTTAGTCTTGCGTGGTAGGGGGGAAAACCACTCTGCCCATGCTTAGAGGCATTTTTAGTAGTTGGGTTTGATTTCTGACTGTCCTGGGTATTCAATAATGCCTGCAGGGAAAGGAATCGTATGTAGAAGCTGAAATATTCCTGCAGGAGCGATGAGGGGATTTTCATTTTTTTTAAATGCTTAGATAGATAGATAGATAGATAGATAGATATAGAGATAGATATAGAGATAGATGATAGATAGATAGATAGATAGATAGATAGATAGATAGATAGATAGATGATAGATATAGAGATAGATAGATATAGAGATAGATAGATAGATAGATAGATAGACAGACAGACAGACAGACAGACAGACAGACAGACAGACTTTATATTGCCACCTATTCATACATGGCGACTCAAGGCAGCTTACAGAATATAAAACCTCATGTAAAAACAATAATACTAATAAGAGTCATATAATTAATATAATAAAATAACCCCCTGCCCTGATGACAGCATCTCGCACGAGCCATTTAATGAACGCCATTCTACTGATTTAAAAATAAGTAAGGTTTTTTTTAGGTAAAATTGGGGCCTTTGGGGGCTGGATACCACTGAACAGAGGCAGCCCAACTTTTGGGGCACCAGGTTCCGTGGAGAGAGGTTTTTCCGTGGACCAGAGGGGATGTGGTTTCGTGGGCTGCCTGCATCCCACGGATGGAGCTTTGCTTGTTTGTGCAGGCAGGTTTCTGTCATGCCTTGGTCCGGGGCCGGTCCATGGACTGGAGGTCGGAGATCTCTGGCCATTAAAGACCGGGCTGGAATCCCTCGGCCGCAGCGCTGACTTTGCTTTCTGTAACTTCCTCACTAGCGCATTGGAGAAGACTATATCGCGGATCTGGATCAGCTGAGGAAACTTCTCAATTTCGTGGATGACGAAAGTTTTATCCGGGATGTGGCCAAAGTCAAACAGGTGAGGAGGAGGATGGGGTGGTGATTTTGGCCAGGCTGGGCCCAAATACAGCCACAATGGAGCCCCAAAATGGAGGTTGCTAAGCGAGAAACTTTTGTTTGTTTTGTTGCATTTGATGACTTTTCTGGACACCTTTGTTAAGTGAATCACTTAATTTAAATTAGCAACACGGTTGTTAAGTGATTTCCCCATTGATTCTGCTTGTCAGAAGGTCGCAAAAGGGGATCATGGGACCATGGGACATTGTGACCGTCATAAATATGAGTCAGTTGCCAAGTGTCTGAATTTTTATCACGTGACCACAAAGATGCTGAAATGATTAAGCGTGAAAAACAATCCTAAGTCACTTTTTTCAGTGCTTTGTAACTTCAAACGGTCACTAAACGAACTGCTGTTAAGTCGAGGATGACCTGTATACTATTGCGGCTGTTTTCCTGGCTGCCCCGCTTCCCACCAAGCTTCTCCTTCTTTGCAAAGAAGCCAGAATTACAATTCAGTCCAATGCAGTGGAGTCCAGCATGGGATAAATATTAAAAAAAAGGGTGTTGGTCCCAATCGGAGCAGAGAATTGCACAGCAAAGCTAAAACTCTGAATATCAGAATCTTGTAAGTCTGTTTGTGCTGGGCCTCCCCCCTTATACTCCTATGAATTAGGCAGGTGTCTGCCCCGAGTAGCTTCCAAATGTTACCTTCCTTCTCTGGACCTGGAAAATACTTCAGCCCCTCTTCCTTACTTACTAGTCAAAGCTCTAATCAGAGCTTCTGGGGAGGGGAGGGGGCAGACGGCCTTGCCTTTTCATCTTCATTCTGCTTAATTTCCCTTCCCCACCTACCCCAAACCCGGTTTTAGGAGAACAAGTTGAAGTTTTCCGCCTACCTGGAGAAGGAATACAAGGTCAAGATCAATCCCAACTCCCTCTTCGACGTGCAGGTGAAGCGGATCCACGAGTACAAGAGGCAGCTGCTCAATTGCCTGCATGTCATCACCCTTTACAACCGTGAGTGCCGGCCTCCAGCTGCGTCTGTGGGGCAGCCAGAGATGGGGAGACTGACGAAGCCCCTTTTCCTCGGGATTCTCCCCCCCCCCATCCTTGCTTTGGCAGGGGTGGGGTTTGGCATTCTCCAAGTGAAATTCAGAAACTTCCTTCCTTTTCCTTCCTTCCTTCCTCCTGCCCTCCCTCTTCTTTTTTTCTCCTCCCTCCTTCCCTTTCTTCCTTTCTCCTCTTTTCTCTCCTTCCTTCCTTTCCTTCCTACCCTACCTTTTTCTCTCTCCTTCCTTCCTTTCTTCCTCCCTTTTTCTCTCTTCCTCTCTCTCTTCTCTTCCTCTCTCTCTAGCCATCCATCCCCAAATGACCAAGTGCACATTATAAGCTCAGCTCCTTTCAGTGTTGCAAATTATTTTGCACCTAATGAACTGTGCCAGCTCAGCTAAGGCTGGTTAATTGATTATTTCATCATGGTCAGATCTATATCCCGCCTTGGTTTTATTGGGTCCCGTTTAAGCCCCCTCCCCTTCTTTTCCCACCACAAAACAGTGATGGAGAGATACTGCCTCAGCTGGCTTTCATGCCTAAGGGAGAACTAGAACTCACCCTCACCCAATTTCTAGCCGACACCCTTCCTCGTTTCACCAAACCGCTACTTCTCAGAAGTAGCAAAGTAATGAGTCCGTGGTTCTGTGTGTTGCATGAAGCCCGAGTGCGGGAGAATGCAGGGCTTCTGGCTAAGTGGGTTGTGCGAATCCTGCCTTTGAAAGGGTTTCCAGGGAGAGACCGGAAACCAAAAGAGAAGCTGGTTTTTGTCTCTCATCTGACTGTGGACTTTTTCTTCCACCTTCCCTCCCCAGGAATCAAGAGGGAACCTAACAAGCACTTTGTGCCACGGACAGTCATGATTGGAGGCAAGGTGAGGCATGGACAGCAGAGGGCAGGGCTGGGGAAGATGGGAATTGGGGTACTCGAGGCAGAGGTGGGATGACGGGATATGGAGCAAATATCCGCTTGGTCTCTTGGCATCTGTTAGCTTTCAAATCATAGAATCATAGGGCTTGGAGGGACCTTGGAGGTCTTCTAGTCCAACCCCTTGCCCAAACAGGAGAATCCCGTACTATTCCAGAGAAGTGGCTGTCCAGTCTCTTCTTAAAAACCTCCAGTGATGTCATTCTCACGTGTCATTGGGAAATTCCTCCGTAGTTCTAGCTTAGAGGGCGTGCGTAAGCATGCATAAGCGCACCAACGTGCCTACCGTCCCTGTCCTACTGTTTCTTTTATTTTTCTTCTATGTACCCATTTCATGTATTCATAACTATGTTTATACTTATACCCGTTATCTTGTAAGCAATTGACAAATCAAATAAAAATAAATAAACCTCTCTTTAACAACCTTCCAGCCATTACTTCTTGTAAAACCTATCAGAACATAAAAGAAGCACATTTTTTTTTTTTTTGAAGAAAAGGATGAATTAAATATAGCATTTTGGACTGGGTTTCAGTCAGGCTGCCCTGATCACCTGCATGCCCTTTTACCTAGAGATGCCCTGGCATTTCCTCGCAAACTCTTCGTGGGGGTCCCTAAAGGGAGGCTAAAGCCCCTTCTTATCCCTGCAGGCGGCTCCTGGCTACCACGTGGCCAAAATGATCATCAAGCTGGTAACCGCCATCGGAGACATCATCAACCATGATCCCATCGTTGGTGACCGGCTGAAGATGATCTTCTTGGAAAACTACCGAGTCTCCCTGGCTGAAAAGGGTACGTCTCGCGTGCTGGACCTGCCTTTGGCTGGGATCTCCTGGCGTGGATTGTCAGGGAATGCTTCTTGGCACCCCACAGTGTTAAACCAGTCATCTGGATGTTAGTTCTCATCTTGAGAGTCGCTGAGGCCACTTGGAGGCTTATCTGTGCACTCAGGGCCACCTGAATAGTGCAAATGGGGGTGGGGAACCTACTTGGAACTGCCGAAAGGGATCTCAGTGTGTTCAGTGTATTTACAACACAGTCATTTCAGCAGCTCCAAGGAGATTCCTGAGGGCAGAGATAAACCTCCAAGTGGCCTCAACGACTCTCAGAAAGAGTACTAACGACCAGAGGACTGAAAGGAATGTAAATCCTTCCATCCTTCACTATTCAGTCAGAACTGAAGAAGCTTCTTGGATGAGAAGTGAAAAGTCTTTAAGGAAAAACAAAGTCCAGTTGCCTTTTGAAAAAGCACTTTTGGAACACTTTCTAGATGGTCCGACTGGACTCCCAAGAACTGATTTACACCGGCTCTTCTTCTTTCCCTGTGCAGTGATCCCTGCAGCTGATCTTTCTGAGCAGATCTCAACAGCCGGCACCGAAGCTTCGGGAACCGGGAACATGAAATTTATGCTGAATGGGGCTCTGACCATTGGCACCATGGATGGCGCCAACGTGGAGATGGCAGAGGAAGCCGGAGAGCAAAACCTGTTCATTTTTGGCATGCGCGTGGAGGATGTGGATGAGATGGACAAGAAAGGGTACGTGCCAGAGGGGGCTCAGGGCAGGTGAAGGCTGAGCAGGGGGTTGGGCTAGAAGACCTCTAAGGGTCCCTTCCAGCCTTAGGATTTTATGAGTCTTAACTTGCTGGGCAAAGCTAAAATGGGCACCAGGATATTTTGTTTATTTATTTAGCCTATGGCTTCTACAAACGTCATGCAATCACTGATACGCAACACTAATAAACACATTATAAAGCAGAAAAAGATATTAAGAGGACTCATAAGACAGCATTAGGACACGGACATAGTGCACTTTGTGGAGTTTACAGCCTATATACAAGAAGTCCTTGACTTATGACCACAATTGGGACCAGACTTTCCACTGCTAAGCAAGGTTGTTGTTAAATGAGTCGCACCCAGTTTTACACTCTGTTTTGCCACTGATCTTAAGTGAATCACTGTAGCTGTTAAGCAGTTGTTAGGTGCATCTGGCGTCCCCCATCGACTGTGCTTGTTGGAAGACGCATGGCTGGCTGGGGAATTATGGGAGTTGAAGTCCACAGGTCTTCAATCTCCAGGGTTGGAGACCCCCCTGCCATAAAACGTGCCCAGCACGTTAGAAAAAGCTGAGTGCCAATTTTTTCAACGTTCACTCCCAGCTGCCCTCCGAAGGGAATCAGTCCCAAGAACACGCAGCCCTTGGTCATCATAAACTTCAAAAGCTGTTGTGAAATATACAGCCGAATCCAGGTTTGCCAGCAAAAGTGATGGATTGCAGCTTTCATCATTCCCAGCAGCCATGCCTGTGAAAGGGTGATGGGAACTGCCATCCTAAACACTGAGAAACACTGGGGGATCAGATTGGTTCCCCCCCCCCAAAAAAAAGAGCTGGTAAAATGGGCCTGTTTTTAAAAAGTTTTTCCCCCCTCTGATTTCATTTGTAAAGGGGCACTAAGGAGGGCAGCATGCCTAAGGCTGCCCAAGTGTGCAGGACAATTATTTTGGACTAAATCAACCCTGTTTTCCCCACAGCTACTGCGCCAAGGATTATTATGACCAGATCCCTGAACTGAAGCAAGCCATGGACCAGCTGAGCAACGGCTTCTTCTCACCCAAGCAGCCGGATCTCTTTAAGGACATCGTTAACATGCTCATGTACCACGACCGGTGAGAGCGAGCCCCGGGCATGTTCCTTTTCCCTTATGACTTTAAAGCAGCGTTTCTAAAAACTTTTGTTTTAACATATTTGTTATTGCTTTTGAAAGAAGAAGAAATTGGTCAGCCATTTGGTATAGAGTCTCCTGCCTGAGCAAGCGGTTGGTCTAGAAGACCTCAGGGTGCCTTCCAACTCTGTTATTCTGTTAGTAACAGATAAAAGAAAAAAAAACCCAAAAGGAACAAAAGAAAATGCTACATGTATTATTAAAAACCAAGTGCTTAAAAAATTAACCCAAAAATACAACAAAAAAAGTTAAAATATAGTATGAGTGTTACCACAATAAATGGTTGCCATTCTATACAGAAGTATGTAATGCATATATTATGAATATATATTATATGCTAAACATTTATTACATATATATTCATATAATAAATATGCATGTTTTCATATTTTGTAAATAAACATTTATTTACAAAATATAAATATATTCTTGTTATATTTATATTTTGTAAATAAATGTTTATTGAATATTCATATTTATGATGTTTGCATGATAGTTATATCCTTTTTTCTGCCATTGGGCTGGGTGTCCAGCAGGGGGCAGCTTAAAGCGAAGCTTCGGAATCCTCCCTTTTCAAATCATGATAACATTCTCCCCACTTTCTTAAATTTTGCTGGGAATCAAAAGGCCTTCTTCCATCTTCATCCACACAAGAGACAAAACAGCAGGCTGAAATTGTTCATGTGCAGGTTCACTCCAAATGTTCAAAACAACAGCAACGAAACTGACAGTGAACAACGAGCTAGTTCTGTGCTTCTCACCCTTAGCAACTGGACTTCAACTCTGGCTGGGGAATTCTGGGAGTTGAAGTCTGCTTGTCTTAGCAGTTGTTAAGGTTGAGAAACACAGAGGTAGAGGCTAGACAGCCATCAGTTCAGGGGTGCTTTAATCCGGATCAAGGGGTTGGATTGGATGACCTTAAAGGTCCCACTCCTGGCCCCCAACATCTTAATGAGAAAACTGGGTGTCATGCCCCTGTTGGAATCCGATTCTGAGGGAGAGATGGAACAGCTGATAGGGAGTGGGAGTGTGGCTCCAGTCCCTGTGGAGAAAACTGGAGAAGGGCACAGTCTGGGTGGGCATTCAGAGGAAGACTCAGGCCCACCCCCTCTTCATCCTAGAGCACACAGGGAGGAACGGAGAAGGGAGCAACGTGGGTTACAGGGGAGAAAAAGGCCCTGATTCCCTTAATTAGCTGCAGCTGGGAAAACAGGATAAAGAGGGTGTTTGCGCACAGTTCCTTGCTGGAAGCAAAGCATGAACTATTTTGGTTTGTCAAGTCTTATCTGGGTTCTGGCATCCTCCCAACTGTGTGTGTTTCATTATCTTTTGGAAGTCTGCAATTCCTTATCCTGCCCTGTCTTGTTAATTGCTGCAGCTGGTTTGTGTTGGTTGTTATTTATAATTTATATGTACTTTGGGTTCGGACGGAGTTTCTTCCCCTTAAAGACTGTTCTTGGGAGAGTTTTTCCTCCAGTTTTTTCTCTAACTGGACATTGGGGGCCAAGTTGGAGGTATTAAAAGGACTTTACCTATTTTTGTGATTTTGTTGCTTTTGTGCCATGCCCCTTTGGGTCATCATACTGGGCTTTCCAGTAATCACCCTTTTTCTTGGTACAGGTTTAAAGTTTTTGCCGACTACGAAGCTTACATTAAATGTCAAGAAAAGGTCAGCGCCCTTTATAAGGTGAGTTTGCTCTGGAGGGGACCCTGTCTTTGCCAAATTGCAGGATTAGTGCCGATTTCAATCAAGGGGTGTCAAAAAGACCCGTAAGTCATATTAACTACTATCTAGCTAAGCCTGGTAGAGAGAAGTGTAATTTTGTTAAATTTTGCATTCAGTGAATCCAGTTAATTAAAATTAAACTTTGCATCCAGTTCTCGTCACCATGACACAAAAAAGAAGCTGAGAAAATATTCTGGAAAGAGTTCAGAGAAGAGCACTAAAGATAAAGAGGGCTGGAGGCTAAAACATTTTGTTAACGGTTGCAGGAACTGGGGATGTCTAGTCTAACAAAGAGGGGAACGGATGCTAAAATGTAAGGATGAAAAATCTTCTTCCCAGGATCTTCCTCCATTTTTCAGTCTTTTATCCATCATTTTAACATTTTCTCTCAAACTGTGAGACCCATTTCTAAAGAGACTGCAAGTGCAAATCTGTAATAAGTGCATTGGATAAAGGGCCATATTTTTTAGTAAATTGATTACATTCTCGACCATGATGATTTTTAATGGTTTTAATAGTTTTGATTGTTTGTGATGTGACTTACGATTGTGATGAATCCTGCCCAACACAGCCATAAGTCACGATGGTACTTATATTTGCTACAGTGGAAATGGAAGTTTTCCTTTCCTTTTTTTTTCTCTTCTTTCTCTCCTTCCTTCTCTCAACTTCCTTCCTTCCTTCCTTCCTTCTTTCCTCTTTTCTTTCGTTCCTTTCTTTCCTTCCTGCTTTCTCTTTCTTCTCCTTCATTCTCTCAGTTGCCTTCCTTCCTTCTGTTCTTTTCTTTCCTTCCCTCTCTCTTAGTGTGTGTTAGAATTTATGCTCTTTGTAAAACGTCTCATAAAAATGTATTTTAAAATAGAGGAAAATGATTTTCCTTCCGTCTCTCAATTCTTCTGTTGCCGGCCTTCCGCAGAACTCCAAGGAGTGGACGAAGAAGGTGATCCGGAACATTGGGACTTCTGGAAAGTTCTCGAGCGACCGCACCATCGCCCAGTATGCCCGTGAGATCTGGGGGGTCGAGCCCACCCGCCAAAAGATCCCTGCCCCCGATGAGCCTCGGGAATGAGCACCCACCACCCTCCGTCCTCCTGCCCTGTTACCCCCAGCAACTGGGGGGGCTCGGCTGCAACACAGTTCTCCATCTCGGCCAAGCCCCCAACGTGTCACCGAGGGGGGGGGATGTGTTAGGAAGAACCCCTCACCTTCCTAGCCCCCCTCCCCTCGGTATGTATTTTTTTAAAATTCACCATCCCCCTTTCCTTTGTATTTCCTTCTGTGCTTCCTTCCCTTCCTAGCGTGAGAAAAAGCTTCTTTTTCAGCTTTTGAAGGCGGAGGGTCTTCAAAACAGCCAGGCCCAGCAGGGGAAGGAGAGTTGGTTGTTCAGCTCAGCAAAAAACAACAACAACACAATCCTTCCGGTCATTGTGAAATGAGGAAAGGGGTTTGCAAACCGGAAGATAGAAGCAAAAAGGAAAATTACAAATAAAGCTTTTAAAATATTCCCGACTGCTGGAACCTCTTTTTTTTTTCCCCTGCAAGGTTTGTTTTTTTTTTAAAAAAAAAACAACAACAACACATTGCTTAATTTTTGAAGGTGTCTTGCTCTGAAAACAAAGGCAGCTTTGGGGAGCGATGGGGTGGGATGTCAGCTTTTTCAAAAACTAAAAAGACCTGTTTTGAGTTGCAGCCAATTCCTTGCCCGTCAAGCAGATTGCAAAGTTTGCAGCCACCTCTAGCTGTGGTTCTGTTGCACCAGAGAGATATGGGGCTGCGTGTACCGAAACATTTGGAGGTTGCAAATCAGAGTAACAGAGCTGGAAGGGACCTTGGAGGTCTTCTAGTCCTACCCCTTGCTCAAGCAGGACACCTTATATCATTTCAGACAAAGGGTTGTCCAGCCTCTTCTCAAAACCCTCCAGAGATTGGAGACCCCACAACTTTTGGAGACAAGGCGTTCCACTGGTTAATTGTTCTCACGATCAGACTATTTCTCCTTAGTTCTAGGTTGCTTCTCTCCTTGATTAGTTTCCTAATTACTAGTTAATTCTTGTCCTGCCTTTAGGTACTTCAGAGAATAGGTTGGCCGACCTCCTCTTTATAGGAACCCCTCAAATATTGGAATACTGCTATTATGCCTCTCCTAGCCCTTCTTTTCCCTAGATTAAATCAAATCAACACTGTCCGAAGAGTAATGTAAGACGGGGTTTTTTCCCCCCAAGGAAGTCCATTAAGGAAGGGAATGCACTCAGCACTATAGCAATCGGCAGGGGATATTGGGAACTGTAGTCCAGCGTTTTCTGATCTGTGCTTTATAGTGAGGAAGGTCAAAGAAACACTCATTTATATAATATGACTTCAAAATGTTATAAAACCACATTTCTTTTTAAAAAACCTTATATTTTTATTGTTAATGACAGGTAGTCCTTGATTGACGACCACAATTGAACTCCACATTTCTGTTGTTAAGTGAGGCATTTGTTAAGTGAGTTTTGACCCATTTTATGATTTTTCTTGCCTCTTGTTGTTAAGTGAATCACTGCACTTGATAAGTTAGTGACCTGGTTGTTAAGTGAATCTCAAGCATCCCAATGTAAAACACGGGATGCTGCTACTGTTGTTACAGTCATCAGTCACTTTTTTCAGTGCCGTTGTAGCTTTAAACGGTCACTATATGAACAGTTGTAAGTTGAGGACCACCTATATTCCACAGAGATTTTACTTTTGTTCAGTGAGGGTGACATCGCCACAATCGACAACAACAGCAAAAAAATCTTTAGGGATATGCTAAAAATGGCTTTTACTTCCCTATGGGGCATCATTTGCCCATCAGCCTGTGTTTCCTGTTGCTTTTTAAATTGGTATTTCAATTAGAGTGAAAATGCTTCTCTAACTCTCCTTTGGAAATAACGGTGAGCTCAAAGAGGCCTCGGTGCTAAAACGGCACGGAGGAGATGAGAAACTAAGAAGAAAAGAATCCATCAGGTTTCTTCATTGACATCCTTAAATGTATGGCTCAAAATTTTTCCACCTGTAATTGATCCCAAAAAGCAGTTTTACGTCTTTCTGCCCTTGGCCTAGGTGGCATTTTGTTAATATTTTCATGACACATATATACGCCATATAAACTAGGCTAAAATATTTATGAATATTGTGTAAAGAACATTTAAGTGCTCATTAAAAGATTAATTAAAAATAAATGAACTCACGCTAAAAAGGGAGCCAAGCTGAGGCTTCGACTTTTCCCATTCTGGAGGAATTTCCATTTTATGCAATGTAAACAGGTGGTGGGGGAAATGGAAGGATTGGGGTAGGCAGAAGCTGCTGTCGTCTGGGAGAAAAAATACCGCACAAGGAATTTGAGCACACCGTTGGTGGAAATGTAGTCATACCGTTAGCTTCGTGCCTGAGATAAAGGTAAAAAAAAAAATCAGAAATATGCCTTCTGATAAACAAAGCCAGATTCATTTACCCATTGGGCTGCTAACTTATCCACTGCAGTGATTCACTTAAGAAATGTGGCAAGAGAGGTCATAAAAGGGGCAAAGCTCACTTTACAAATGTTTCGCTTAACAACGGAAACGTTGAGCTCAATTGTGGTCGTAAGTCGAGGACGACCTGTATAACATCTGGCTATGTAATGTTTGGATGATTCCCAGGAAGGATAAAACTGGTTGTTTGGTGCCCCCTGGTGGCCAATGCAACCCATCCGTTTGGTGAGTTGACAGTTGGACAAATTCCCCCCAACAGGCGTAATTTATGAACCAGGAGAAGTCTTTGCGCCCATAGGAAGCCTATAACATGCTCAAGCCCTTTAAGCTTGGCATAAAGGCCAGTTCACACAACATCATGAAACCCAAAGCCTTGATTCCAAAGCTTGCTGATTTTCAAATTATCCAATTGTATTTGAGCCTGATGCAAATCCGGTTCAATTTTCCAACAGCGAGAGCAATCAACCCATGGAACAGAAGCTACCTTCAGAAGTTGTGGGAGCTTCGTCACTGGAAGCTTTCAAGAAGAGACCGGACTGCTCTCTGTCAGAAATGGTGTAGGGTCTCCTGCTTGGGAGGGTGGTGGTATACTAGATAGCAGTAGCACTTAGACCTATATCCCTCTTCACAGTGTCTCTAAGCAGTTTACAGAGTCAGCCTCTTTCCCCCAACAATCTGGCTCTTCATTTTATTGACCTCGGAAGGATGGAAG